CTGCTAGTGAGTCATAAAGGGTGCAATCCACCCTCCTGTACAGATCCTTCACAAGACCATGGTACCATTCAAGTTTGCACAAGAGCTGAAGTGGCACTTCTGTGCTGTGAGGGGCCTCATGTTAGCCTTCTAATCAAAGATCACTCACTCAGAGCTTCTTCAGCCTCCTATGCAACAATAACAACAAAAAAAGAAAGAACGTTCTGCATGCAGAACCAATGCTTGATCCCAGATGGTATTTATAAACCCCCCCCCCCAAAAAAAAACCCACTTGAAGTCCTATAAAACAAAAACCAAAACCCAACTGAGTTCTTCTAAGTGCAGAAAACTTGAAGTAATGAATACAGTTTAGACTGAGTAATCCAACAACATTTTCACTTTACAGTGCCTTGTGCTTTTGGAGTATTTTTTTACTGGATTCCACTGCAAAACCTGATTCAAAGCAGCATTATTCCAGTATTACAACATAGTAACAATTGTGTGACTCGAGGTAAAACTGGAGTAACACAGCAGTCTATCATGCCCTTAATTTCCACACACACACAAAACTGAAACACAAATAACGTGTCAAAAACAAAACAAGAAAATGGAGAATTTTTTTTATTTGTACTTAGCACATACAAGGAAGATCAAAAACAAATGTTAACGATAGCATTTGTAAACAAATATACTTTACAAAAAGTTATGTACTATCAAATTTGCTCTGAAAAAATACTCAGGGTTAGCCCTGTTTATACATTCTTAAAATCAAAGTTAAAAACTATTACAGTTTAAAATATTCCAAATAAAGATTTACTTCAGCCCAAACTCCAAAGGACCACAGTTGTAAGGTCAAATTAAAATGAAAAAGTAAATGAAGATGGCACCATGATTCTTAGATTACAAAACAAAAGCAATCAAAACACCAGTTACATCTATATGAGGGCCTAAAGTTTTCAAAATATACATTCAACTTCGCAGAAGTCTAACTTTTTTTATTACTATTTAGATTTAGCAGCCTCCCACCATGTAACTGATTGACTATAAGGTAGCTCTTGAATCACTCTCTCAGAGAAAAAAATTCACAAGATAGCTGTATGTATCTTTATGGTTTGCATTAATTACATTTTGAAAATCAGATGAAGACAACAGCACCCATTATTAAGGCCTTTTTTTTGTTTTTTTGGTTTTTTTTTACATTTCCGTATTTATAGCAGCAAATACTAGATTTAGGTATAGTATGCAACTTCTAATTGACAAATCAATAAATCAAGAGTAGAAATAAATGTATTCTACAAAGCTTAAAAGTATAGTGTTTTCCCCAATGCTTGTTTTTATAGTTAAACAAGCACCTATAATTTTATTTTGGAAAAAAGTACATCTTTGATTAAGTCAGCAGGCTCCCTTTGTCACTGGCCACACAAGTCATTTTAACTGCTAACATGACTTTTGATTTTATTTGCAAATATAAACCTCCTGTTTATGCATCACTTAAGAAACTAAGCTTCTCAAATCCTTATCCTTTTAATCTGGCTCATAAATAACAATATAATAAAAATAATTAGTGTGGTATGGTGGTTTATAGCACTATACCTGTTATTTCTTAATAATTAAATTTAAAGGGTAATGTAAAACTTGGAAATGTTTGATACATTTTATCATCATTTAAACGTTTCAGAACTTAGGTCAAACTAACCTCTGACTTGTTTTCATACTTGTGTTTTTTTTTAAATTTTAAAGAAAATACTGTATGATATCTTTTCAGGATTGTCTAGAAACACTAAACAAGATGACTCTACAGATTAAGACGCACACTTTTTACACCATATACTTTTCACATAATGTAGACAGACAATGCTTATGGGATGTAGTGATGATCTATGATGGTAGGTGAAATTATGATGATTCAGTTTCTCAAAGGGTTGTCATGAGCTTATCTTGGTACACCATACTTTGGTTTCCTCCTAAATTCTTCTGGTTCTGTTCCTGGATATATTGTAAATTGATGTCATCTCCACTTGTGGGTGGTTTCCAATATGGCCTGTCATCATGATAGGGGGGCCTGTACCATTTGCACAGTTATTGGTTAGTGAGAGGTGGAAGTTAACTTACAATAATGAGTGAAATACAGTAACATGAGTTTATAGATAGGGTCTAAATGTGCATACAGACTGATGAAGAGTGAATGGTACTGGAAGGAAGCGATGAGAGAACCATGGACTTGAGGCAGAGCCCATCAATGCAAATGTGAGTCTTTTCATTGATATCAGTGGGCTTTGGATCAGATCATGTGTGCACAGCAGTTTTAGAGTATCTTTTTATCAAATATTAAAATCAAAGACTCATCCATGAATGCTACTGAATCCACAGGGAGCGGGAGTTTAGCTACAGCAAGGCTGAATACGTTCCATCAGATAAAAAGAAATACAGAATCATAAAATAATTGACTCATGAAAATATTTATCAAAGGCTTAAAAATTAGGATAGATAATAATCAATTATCCTTCCATATACACAGCCATTCGCTCAACATAGATAGAATTAGTTGCACTTAATAGGTAAGATATAAAACACATCCACCTTGCTAAAACAAAACTTCTTCCAATGATTACATTTAAAATAAAAATTTGCCTACAAATTCACACTAAAATTGTAAAACTAGTAAACAAAAAATCCTTTTCCTAAATTTTCTTGCATACTTGTGCTTGCAACTACTACCACCATGCACTCCATCAAGTTTCCTGATGATACAAAATGCCAAATCACTAGCAAAATACTTCAAAGAGTGGTTTTTAAGCAACATGATAAAAAGTAAACTATGAAATTTTAAAGATTTTTTGCTTAAGGTATTTAAAAAGTTGAACTTATTTTTAGAAACATTCATTGCATGCTACAACTGATAACTGTTAATTTAAAAGTATAAAAGCCAAGTAGGATTGAAATTAAAAAAAATAAAAATAAAAGCAGTAGATTTTGCTTTGTGTTTAAGGGTAACCTCAGTAATGAATCTTGAAGTTGCATATGACAACTAAACTTGGTTACACTTTGTGACAAAATTCATTCCTACAATAATTTAAGTGAGAAATTGCAGACCAAATTACATTTGAAAACTGCAGTAATAAAGAGGGAGAAGTGTTCCTGCACCATTTTCCCCTTCCTTCAGTTTTGTTAAAAGAGTAGAGTATCCCATATTTTGCTTTCTTTTATATAGGCTACATACCAAGCCCAGTTCAGGGTGTTGCATGTACTTGAGGCTTGATACTGCTAGCATCTGAGCACTCTTACTCAAATTCACCAAAGCTTTTAACATATGCTTTATCTTCTGCCATGAACAGCCAAGTTAACGCCAAGGTTTCTTACACACTTCAAGTTAAAGATAGGGCTGTATTGCTTAGCACCTTCCAGAATTGCTGAGCTGAGAGACAGTATGTGAGATTGGGACCTTATGAATGTTTCTGGGTTTCTAGGTCTAGTTGTCAAAGCACCATTGTTTGTATTTCACTGTAGTTACTTTTAACAACCTTAGTCCTTGCTGAAAAAGAATGTTGTCTATGGGCATCCCAACACGTGGCTCTGCTTTTAGTAACAGTAGCTAGCCTAAGGGAAAATGCCATGGCTTTAAAAGTAAAAATAAAATAGAACTAATAAAGAGAAAATTAAAAAATGGTTTTAAAAAGCATTACTCTAGACAGACACGAGTCATGACATAGGTTTTTTTTTAACACTCAAGTTTAACTTACGTAACAGTCTGCTTCAACTCTTTCTCCCTACATATTTTAATTCTACTGGCTAAGTATTTTGAGCTAAAAATGCATAAATCTGGGCATCTCTTGAGATCCCAAACTTCATGCCTATTTTTCTGCTGCTTCAAATCTGCACTCAGACCAGACTGTTCTTTCTCCCAGGCCACTCTCACCTGCACAACTAAATCACACTATCACCAACCCTCTGCAGGAGTGACTTGTTTCATCCCAGTATGCTTAAATCAAGGAGAAAATGTCAAAAGAGCCATATTTTTCAGTCAAGTCAGTACACTGTTTGTCTGAAAATCCTACACACTCCCTAAAGTCCAGTGAAAATTAGTTGCGTTTACCTGGAAAAAAGCTCTAATTTTAGTATTGCATGTGTGCGCGTGTTAATGCACTCGCACAAAATATCATTAATTTCAATTCAGATTGAATTTGATACAGTCTTACTTTCATTCAATTACTACCCAATACCATTAAAATGCATCTGTATGATGCAAATTATATACTCACATTGCTATAAAGAACTATGCTTTAGGAGGTATTATTAATATATTTGGTATTTTTAAGGTATTATTACCAAATATACCAATGGTCAATAGGAGAGCACTGGAATTTTCCATTTGAGTTTTTGCAGGAGAAGAAAAAGTTACTGCACATCTCTTAATTTAACCCTATCCTAAAAAGCCATGCTTCACTAGCTGGTGAGATTAAATGCTAACTGAGGTAAAATTAATTTTACTGAAGCTAGTAAACATTTCTCAGTCAAATGTACCACCTATGGAAATTCACTGTTAAAAGGAAAACAAAATCCTAGAATTACATGTTAAACTATACCTTAAAAATAAACCCAAGCAAGCTATCGACTTCCTTGCAATAACTTTAGCAGACTTAAAATGCACAAAACAGAAACTAAATTAATGCATTTTAATAGTGTACCTACCATTCATGTTTTTTTCTACACTGCCTGACACTCTATCATAGCTCTAATATAGAGATAGGCAATCTTTGCAGCTACAGGGTGTAATGACCCAACCTGGGACTCAGCAGCGGGTGCTTAGGACCCTGCTGCTGCAGCCATCACTTGTCCCTCTAACAACACAGGGAAAGCACCTGAAGAAGGTGCCCCTTGCTGCTGACTGCCGCTGAAGCCCCAAATCCGTGGGCTGGATCCAAAGGTTATATGGACTGGATCTAACCTGTGGGCTGTAGGTTGCTAACCCCTGCTCTAATCAAATCAAGAAAAATACGAAGAAAGCAAAACATACAACTTACCTTATATTCACAGGCGTATGTGGATGCCAGTGTGGTTGGGCAGGATGTATATTAGGATGATACTGTGCCTGAAAGTAAAATATTAACCTTCATTATGCTATTGTGTCATGATTAAAATCTTACTGTACTTGATGAATTTTCTGTGGAAGAGGAAAAAAATTGGAAAAGTATACCTCTACATATAACAGCCCTCTACAATGGAGTCTGTCATAGACTGCTATCTTCAGTCTATGACAGAGGATCTGGGATCTGAAAGGGGATACTTATAAAGGTTTTACATCATGTCCCTTGTTCAAACATTGGCAAGCATGAAGCGTCTTAGGTGAAATGACTGTCAAACCCAGGACTGTCCCAGCTACTGGCACATTTGTGATTACAGCTGGGTAAAAAAGGACTGTGTCACAGATAAACTCAAAAATGCAGGGTTTATTTGGAGGTATATTGTGTGTCATACATAGATATTTCCCCAAATCAGAATTATTATTATGATGTTTATTCTCTCTATATAGCTTAACACTAGCTATGTTCAGTTTTATCATTTTTATGTTTATATGAACTGTGGGTTTCATTGGTATGAATGTATTTCTCTATTTTCATAATTTTCAATACATTGTTCAGGGAATCCCTATGTTTATGGGGAAATTTCCTGGTTCTCCAGTTAGGAAAAGATGGGATAATCTGATAAGATCGCAGAACTGTTGCCTGAGGAAAACATTTTGAAGGGTACTGCTGGGTACAGGTGCTAACTGAAGAATTGTTTCTAGCTAGAGAAACAGGATGAGTTTTTTTTTCTGCTACTTTCTTTTGCATGCTGTCTTCCAAATGTAATAGTTTGTTTTGTCTGATGTGTATTTTTCTGCAGTAAATCACAGCTATTTTATACACTTTACCAGTTGTTGGTGGTAAATGCAATTTTCAGAGCAATTGACAACTAGAGGTATTTCGAGATATATATATATATATGTCTGTCTGGGGGTGGGAGGAGGGGCAGGGGGGTGCTCAAAATAGCCTGGTTCGGGGGCGGAGTGGGGAGGATGGGGTTGGAAAAGTGCAGCCCTGGGACCAGGGTCAATGGCTGGGCTTTTCCAGCCCTGGGACTCTGCTTGGAACCTGTACAGAAGTTCAGTTAGATCAGTCTACCTGTACACTCAACCTAACCTTAGGGCACCTCTGAGGTAGAAATTAGATAGGGTCAGCCCTTTGTTGGCCAATCTAACCTTTCTGGAACTTTTGTACAGTTTTCACTTAGATCAACCTAACTAGGGATCTAACTGTAAGGTCTGCATGTAGGCGAAATAAGTTAGATTAGGTGGCCATTCTTAATGCGCTCTAACCTCCCCAAATGTCTCCATTTACCCTCAAAGTCAGTGGCACAGATGAGACCGTGACAGCAAAAATTAATTGCTGGGGAGTTTTATCATGAAAACAAGTATCTCATTTCTCAGACATGCATTGACTTTGAATTAGAAATATATTTTACTCCTTCAGAAATAAGGACTGTTAGCAGAGTATACAAAATAAGGGTCATAGCTTTCCTTCTGATCTGGTACCTGCGCATTGGATTAATAGGCAGAAATTAAGTGGGAGTAAGCACACTACATTCAACCAAGGGAGTATAGGTGAACATGGTGGACCCTCTCCAGCAAGTCCTGCTGCAAGGCATGTTGGGAGCAAAGCCACAGCACGCAATGCTGCAGAGATTCTGAGCAACACAAGGCAGTCTCAAGGGACTGCTTCAACTCAGATTCATCCTCCCCTTATGATGAAGATAACTGTCCTTGTAGCCCAGAGGACACCTGAGTCAGGAATGCGCAAAAGTAGTGACGTAGAGCCATTTGTCTCCACCCTCCCACTCCCTCTCACAATCAACACATATTACAAGTCAATAATTTTCTACAACAGCTGTTATTCTTACCTGGTAGTTATGGACTTCAGGATTATTTTTAGCACTGAAACAAGAAAAAGGACAAAAAGAGCTTTTGCATCACTGAGACTAAGAACAGCAACAAGGAAATTAATAGAGGATTTGGTATACAATGTGGATGATCAAGAGCAAGACCTTGACCCTGACCCTGGCTCCCTTAATGGGAAAAACCTGCCAATAAATAGAGTCCCACCAGGTCTATTTTTGGAAGGCAACAGGCATCTACTTTTATGGAACCACATGCAGAATTGAGGCCTAAGGCGTCAAGGGGTACCAGAGATGTGTTTCCACCATCATTTTAGGTCTTCTGCTAATAACAATTTCATTTCAGCCTTTTCTGCCCCTAAATGGGGAGGAGCACTAAGCTGTATACGCCCAAAATCCTACAGACAACCACATACGTATGCGACATTATAACCCTGAGCAAACACTGTTGACTTCAACGGGTCTGTTTACGTATGGAAAGCTGTGCAAGGATTATAATACAGGGTCAAAGTCTTAAAAGGACAGTTAATATTTTCAAACATTCCAGATTACTAAAATGGTTCCTAGAAGCTACATTGCTTTTCTAGATTAATGACCTCTCTATACAGGGTATAAATGCACAGTAAGTTGGATATGAAATGTCGTAAAGAGTGCTGGTATCAAATTCACCTGAAGCCCAGGGCTGGATGCAAACCATACAGGCTCCTCATGGTACAAATCCAACCCAGGGGACGGACTGACAGAAGCTGAAGCAGCCACTGTGGCAGCAGCTGTGGGATAAGGGGCTGCAGGCCAGGCAGCTGCTTTTTGCAGCAGAGGTGCACAGTGGCAGCGGACCAGGTAGCTGCAGTGTTGTATTTCTCTCACTTGCCCACCTACCGCTAATGGCCACATTTAGCAGGGCCCCAGAACCACAGATTCTGCAGTAGGCTCCATCCACCTCTGCCTGCATCCCCAAGTTCCCTGGCTTGCTGGACTGACTCTGCAAATCAAGGCTGGCCTACAAGGTTTATGTCTGATACTGCCCTCTTCCTCTTCCTGCCCCTCCTCAAAGCTGGCTCACTTAGTTACTTTGTGTTTAAGCATGCACTAGGTGTGGACACATGCTGAGCCAGACCATGTGGCAATCGCTTGTTTATTATGCATTAACTACCCTAAGTAAGCACATTTATCAAGTCTGTAAAAGCAGTTATGAAGACAAGCTCTCAGCAAGTTTGATTTTTTTTTTTTTTTTTTAACAGTAGTGAGATAGGTTTAAAAAGATTCTAATTGAAGAACAAAAAAGGCACAAGAAAAAGCAGCTCAAAAGGAAAAAATTATCAATAGTTATAAGAAACAGCAAACAGAGATTCCAACTATATGTGCTTTCTGAGCCATCACTACAATTTTCCTAATGTGATATATTAAGAACAAAAGCTCAGTTGCACAGTGCAGACTAAGCAATAGCAAGATTATTAGTGTGGTTCTGCATAACCCTTCTTTCAATCAATTGTGTACTGAAAATGAGCAGCTTACTCATTTTACCTGAAAAGACTTACTTGGTAAAAAACGCCCATAATTCAATTTTATGTAGTTCACTGCTGTATTTTTGAGAGGCATTACAAGATATGAATCCTATTTCACAAATTCAAACACACCTATCCTTTGTTCTGCAAAACTGTGTTTATACCACAATAGTCAAAGAACATGATTGGTGGAAAAAGAAAATACACTGTTTATTATAATGTACGAAGCAGATATGGATAGTGCTGGAAAAATCAACAAAATGGCAAGAAGCTCGGTAAGAAATAAGCTTAACTTTGTTCTTACTTCCAAATAAAAGGAAAAGCAGCTCAGTATGAAGGAAACCAGAACGCACAGAATGTTTCATACACAGCCCTTAGCGGGGACTGGTCAACACTGAACAAACTGGCAGGACTCCTGACATATGCACAATTCTTTGTAGCTAACCTCAATGCAGAAACAAGTTCTTAAAAATCATTGTCAAGCAACAGCTGTGAAAACGTACTTACCACAGTTGTGCAACTTTGCCTGGATTGCTTCCTTCAAAAAAGGAAAGAAAAAGGTAAACCTTTAAGCTTTTGAAAGAGAAAAAAATCCATTCCTACAGTACTTCTGGGTTTTTGGAGGTGCTGTGGCTTGTGTGGATCCTTATGGATGCATGACTGGTATTTTTGAAGAGCAGTATATGTCAGGGGTCTGCAGGGTTTTATGCCTTGGGTATGACCTCATATAGTCATACAAGTGAGAAGCAGTCTTGACTCTTATCCTCCATTCTTACATGATTTTAAACTCAATTTGGATCCCACAGCAGGAAGTATGAGGAGCTCATATCAAGCCAAAGTACGATTGGGGATATTGCTATTTTGAGCTTGCCTTGCCTATAAGTCAGGTGTTGCTTCACCTTGCTGCTTTAAAGATAAGAGTGTGCATCTCAATACAATGTTGATAGGCACTGTAGTGGAATAGTATAGATAGTCCTTCAGAGAGCAGAAATTTTGAAACGGGGAGCAGATATGGCCTATATCCCAGTGGACGAGTGATTATGGTCAAAAGGAAAGGCTAGTCAACTGAGCCAATAGCAGAAAGAAACTGTGGTTCACTGTGCAACTCTCAGCAATGAAATGGCTTGGACTTCGGAAAGGTCAAAAATGGGTGCTAAGGTAGGAGAGAAACTGCCTAACAGCTTGTTCCAATCAAGGTAATGGAGTCAAGCTTTGGGTACATCCAGGATACAAAGTTTCTTCTTCCTAGCAATGGAGTGCAGTTCTAGAGAAACTATAGGTATCAGGATAACTTAATTGGTTCAGGTGAAAATCCAAGCCCAGCTTAGATATGAAACTGGTACACAGATCCAGCACTATTTTATACCTGTAGAAAAATGCAATCAGAAGGTCTGGCCATGACTGTGTAGAGCTCACTGGCTATCCCTTGCCACCAGGGATGTTTTCTGGTATACGCATGCAATTTTACAAGTGGTTCAAAGGAAGCTTCCATGACCTTCAGAAGGATGTCACTCTAGTCCCACATGGGTGCTGGGTTTGTAATAGGAGGGAAAGCACGAAAAATGTCCTTATAGTTCTCAGTTTTTTTGTACGAGAAGATAAGAATATGCAATTCCAATACTGGAGTTAGGGGAACCTCAAAACATCAAATGATAGACTTGATGTTTCAGGAGCAGTGCATAGATTAGGACTACTGGTTTTGGTATCTCTGCTGTGTCCATCTCAGCCTGAGCAGACCTCCATGGAGTTATCCTGAAGGTAGAGTTTGAGCCTCAAGTCTCATGACTTACACATCCTAGCAGGAAATAACAGACACACTGTGCATCTGCTGGGTACATGGGACAGAGGAGGCATTTACTATTGTCTATCTTGTGTGAGAATTAGTCCATCATAGGGCCTGAAAGCTTACAAGTTTCAACTCCATGATTTAAAATAACTTTGTATGGAGAGGGAGCTCTTCTTTTTTTTTAAGCCACTGAGGTTCAGACTAGTCAGCATAAATCAACCTTGCTTGTTCATAATCAAGGTACCAGTGAGGGGACAACCCCTCACTTTACAACCTGGGCCAATTTAGATAAGGCATAGGTGAATGCTACTATACCAAAATTACTGAAGTCTACTATTGTCAGAAACAAAATAGCTTTGCGTACCAGTTAGTGTCTGGCAGGGCCAAGCAATTTAGCCAGGTTCTTACACACCAATTTATCCCAGACCTCCTGTTCTCTTTTCCAAAAAGACTACTGTAAATTCTTTTTTCCCCAGTGTGCTTTATTCAGTTGCACATTATTTGCAACCACAGCTGAGTTCTCAGGATGCTACAGGACCTTATAGCTTTAGGCAAAGACCAGAGAAAGGAAGAGACAAGAATACTGAAGGAAAACTGTAGAAGACAGACAAACAAAAAAATAAAAGCACTTAGCATTGTCTTTCCTCTTTTTTTTATTTTTCTAATGGTGATTTATTCTATTCTGCTAGTCATAAGGAGCTGTAATTTTGTTTGGTCACAAACAGTCACTTATATGAACAGAAACCCTGAAACATGCACTTGTTCTAATTAAACTGATTACATGACCATTCTGTTAACGTACTATTCAAAGGAGCTGAAAAAAATGTGCACCTTTAAATGCTGAATGCCTTCTTGATGGGTACCGCTTGCTGGGTCTTCTTTCAAATGTACTGGTTCTCCGTAACCTGGTCCCATGTGTTGCTTGATATTCTGTTCGACCACTAGGGAAAAAGCCATATAACTTAACTTCATTTCACCAGAACTCATCACTATTAAACATGGTTGGAGAAATCAAAATGGGCTTTACAAAGTGGGAAGGAACACCCCCCCCAAATAAATCAGTCAATTCCTAACTTGGTATGCAATGTTCCTTTAATTTTTGTCATGTGTATATTGATCCCTGGGTTTTTATTTCATTAAATACCTGAATCTGAAGCGTGATCCAAGCCGTATAAAGTCAGATCTATTAGATTTACTGTTTGCTGGTGCTCGTAGTCTGAAGAATGCATGGTGTTCCACTGCACACTTCCACAGATGTTTGCAAGTTTTGGCACTGTCTAACCGGAAAACAAACGTGTGCTCTTGTTCTCGACCCTAAATATAGATACAAAAAAAACAACCCCTTTGGAAGTAGGCATGCATGATATTAGTTATGGGTCTACCACAAAAGAAAAATGGCCCGATCCAACTAAGTGCTAAGCCCTTCAACTGTTAAAAACATCAACAGGAGTTAACTATACTCAGGACTTCATCAGATCAGGCCCAAAGTAAGGAAAGAAAATTACCTGCTCATCATCTTCTACAACCACAAGTGTTAGTTTGCTCTTTTTGAAGTCCATTTTAGTGATTTTAGGCCTAATTATACAGGAAACAAATTAAGACATTTGAGAAGATTAAACAGACCTAACTCATAGAAACAACAAAATAGCATATGACAGACAAAATAGCAGAATATTAATTTCATAACATATTGGTAAATATATTTATACTTTCAGCAAATACTTTAAATTTCCTTGACACATGCATGCTTTTGACCTGGTCAAGTCACTTGAAGAAATTGTTAGTATTCAGAACCAGAAACTCCATTACCATATACATTCAAATCAAAACACAACACTCTATATTTCAAGAGGAAAAAGATTTCATAATTTAACACAAAGGAATATAAACCAAAATCAAATTACCAAAAGAATAAACCTATTTTGTTTGCTCCTTCAAAGATCAATATGCCTGTTGGCGTCAGTCCAAGAGCATATTCGCAACCATCTCTTCCCTACAAGTAAGCAAATGATAGAATAATCAATATGCAATTACTAGAACACATCTTAATATAGACAGCAATCCAAATCATAGGTTAGAAAACACCTTACAAAATCAGTATGTTTCTTGAATTTTAAGGAATAAAGACTCATTACTAGACGAATGAGTATCAATTTATAAACTTTACCATTGTCTGCAAAAAATAAGCTAAAGAGATGGAAGATCTTACCTTAACTACATGCATATCTACACCATACATTTCTAACCATTTTGCTTTGTTCAAGTAACATAATTCAGCCTGTGCTGGACTCTTTCCCCTATAAAAATGAAATGGAAATGTGTCTTAGTTTGGAATAAAATGCTTGCTGAAATACTATACAATTTCCCAAACTCCCCTACCTAGATATGATTGAGCTAAGCAGTTCCTGGTTCACACCTCAGTTTCACCCTCCTCCCCTCCAACAATTCAGCACGGTAGAGCTGGATATGGAATTCTAATTTGGAGCCCACATCAAGTGCCAATCCTTCAAAAGATTACAGATCTTTGATATCAGTGTGTGGGCACAAATCTGTATCTCTTCAGGTGCCATGCTTAGTAACAATGAAAAGGTAACAGGTTTCTTTCCTTGCATTTGAAAGGCCAGAGAATTCTCATTTGCTTTTCCATTGTACACTCAGCAAGAGCCTGATTTGCTGCCACTTTGGCTACCAACTTATCCACACAACCCTGCCCTATGCTAGTGCTGGCCATTTCTTTCAAGGGTTGCATAGTGTCTCTGGAACAGAGGTGGACAAAATATAGCCTACAGTCCAGATCTGGCCTGCCAACGGATTTTGTCTGGCCTACAGCAGGTCTCTTAGCTCTGCCTGACCCACACGTGAGGAACAGCACAGGCCATGGCACATGCGGCCGGTCCTGCCACCTTGGGGCATGCAGTGGGGCTGGGGCAAGGGCTGGACTTGTTTCCTGGCAGCCCCTGCAGTGGCAGCTCCTTCCAGCTGCCGTTGCCAGTCTCCACCACTGCCTGGGAACTGCCCATTGCAGAGGCATGCAAGGAGCATATTGTGGCTGTGCCCCAGCCCCCAACCCTGCACTGTCACCATCCAGTGATCCCAGCCCCACTCTGGCCCACCTGTTTTGCTCCCAGATGCCACTCCCTGCCTGGGTAAGTGCAAGACAGAGCCACCCAGGGAGTTTTGGTAAGCTGTTGCAGGTGGGGTGGGGGACAAGAAGTTGACCCGGCTCACAACAGCTCACCAAAACTCCTTAAGTGGCTCTCTGGTCCAACTAATTGCCTACTTTAGAACATACCAAAGGACACGTATACTGAGGCTCCTTGTCTCAAGAAGCAAGGGTCTGTGCAGCAGTATCTGACTTAAGAGGGAAAAAATCCTCTGTGCATCTATTAAATCTGTTGCTAGGTGACACTATTTTATAGGCAACATACCTGCACTCTTTCCATTTCTGGAAAATATCCAATTCCATTGTTTCCGTCTGATTTGGTGTAAACCTGAATTCAGACACAAGTTCTGGTGTGTGTTCTGGGTGCTCACACTCTCCAAGCTCAGCTGTGACAGAAAGCCAAGCATAAAGGTGTCAGAGAGTCACCATAAACGTTAGACATAGTCATCTTCTCCAAGATACCTCCGCATCCCTGCTTAGCATTGCACTCAAAAGGTTTTGGGATTATGCCTGAACTTTAGCAAACTCTAAACGTAAATCAACCTAGATGATCCTCTCTATCTGAGTGAAGCAGATATATGTAGAATTTTAAAAACTCATTAAAATGTGACTACTACTTCAATTTGAAATATTCTTAAGGAAATAATTTGTTACTAACATTTCAGGTTCCTACAGTTTTTTTATATTAAAATTTATACCATTTACCTCAATTTAAAAGACATCTAAAACCTAAGATGGAGAAGAGTATTCTCAATATATAAAAACTTCCTACAGAAATCTCTGGCAACTCTATTGCACTTTGGCTTTGAAATAATTCCATTTGAGACAGATCTAACGGATTGCTGGTAAACTGGCATCCATTTACAGGGCACTATGACAAACTAATGTAGTTTCACAATAACAAGAGAGGAATCAAGGAATCTACGTTCAACATTGAAAAAACCTGTGGGAAAACATCCTAATACACACGGCCTTCCACAGTTGACCAACTCATTTTAAGTAAGGCGAGCCTGAATTACGTAAGAGGGGCTATAGAAAGACTATGATTGCAGGGTCCACAACAGCACTAGAAATGGAGAGAAGGCAGAGCTGCAAGGTGGACCTCAGAAGCTCCAGCTCAGACAGCATGTAGCTGTCCACTTCTTTGGTGGTATTAAGTAGTAGAAATATATCATACCAGTTTTTCCCACAGCTATGATAGCTGCATATATCCACTTTTAGATGTGCTCTGTGGGGGGGCAGTCTGGGGCCGTGGTGTGTATATCTGGTCCTGCCAACCCTGGGCTTCCTAGCTGCTCCAGCAGGGGTACCCCCTTCCAGCTGTTGCCGCTACTGTCACTAACCTGCTGGATGCAGCTCCACTGCCTGGGCACCCCAGCCTGTATGCCCTGCACCCATCACCAGAGGCACTGGATGGAGTGAGCAAGTGGGGTCTCCATTGAGACCAGCTGCAACCCCTGAGGGCAGGGTGCGCTCAGTTGGGCACATGGGATGGGGCCACAGGTGAGAAAGGAACAGCATCTGGGAGCCGGACAAGTAGCCAGGGCTAGGGCCAGGATTGCAGGGTGGTGACCAGGGCCATGTGGGGAATGGATCGCGACTAGACCCTAGGCTCCAGCTCCGGGCCCAACCCCACACTGTCACCGCCTTATGATCCCAGACCCAGATGCCCATCCCACTCCCAGATGTCACTCCCTGCCCACCCGTGGACCTATCCCATGCACCTAGTTGAGCATACCCTGCTTGCAGGGGTCCCAGCCAGTCTCCATGAGACCCTGGACCACTTAAGGAGCTTTGGTGAGCTACTGGGGGGAAGGGGGAGTGTTTGCTGACCTGGCCTGCAACTGTTCATCGAAGTGGCTCTCCAGCCCAAATAATTGCCCAATCCTGAACTAGGTGAATTTATCTCCTGTAAATACAGGTGAGAGCAGCTGTGGGATCCAACATTTGGGATCCAAATGTTGTAGCTTTAGCACAGAAGGCAAGTAATTTGCCTCCTAATATTATGAACTTGATAAAGAGCACTAACAACAAGATTTATTTACTTATTTTTACGAGTTAGTAGCTAACCTGCTGATTTCAATTAACAGCTCAAAAAGTATTTCTGGTTAAGTGAAAACTGGGTGACCTTAAATATAACTTACCTGATTGTTAACTTATACTGATTGTATACTTATGCTAATTACTTTCTCATTAGCAAGAGACCCTTTACTACACTCTCATGGCTAGTTGGTAAAGAAATTGTTCTGTTACATTAATCTGTTATTTTTTTCACTTAACCTCATCAGCTGCATTTTCTTTGCATCATCTTTCCAAAGCAAATCATTTCATTGCTGATTTTGCAAGTCTGGAGAGAACCATCTATCTCTGGTTATGTAGTTATTTTACAAATTATCCTGAACTGCATGAAGTTCTTTTGGAGAAAACTATTGTTAGGATTTCTAATGAATGGAAAAATGGAAATCAAAAGTGGAAAAACCAACCAACCAAACAAAAAAACGCCATCACAATTTATAGGTACTATATGTTTGGATATGTGACCTCTAAAATATTGGTTACTATAGCTGACAGGAAGCATTTTATAATCTTTGCATACTGTACATTGATGGCCTGCTATATTCATTTTTCTTTGGTATAGTCAGCAATTAATTTTCTCCTTTTTCAAAACTGGAATGAAAGCATTAGTGCTTGTGATTTTCCATAAGTAAAAACAAATACCTAACCATTTAAAGAGGCTCTCCAACTTCTTGTCTGGAAGGTCCATTTTAGAAGGCTAATGAAGCAACAAGAACTGTCATTAAAAATGGGAATAAATCAATTCCTGTATCAATAGGTCAGCTTTGTGAAAAACTTGAACATTCATATTTTTAGATGAAATGGGATTGTCCACCTAAGATTTTCCTGTGAGTGGTTTTAACTGAACTCAAAATTTCACCATCAATCTCATCTGCACTTAACAAGTCATTTACCTACTGGTGAAGTGCATCCATAAATTCCTCCAAAGCACTGAGTGAGATGGCTCCAAAGCCTAATGAAGTCAATGGACAAATTTCATTTGACATCAATAGGCTTTGGACCATGTCTGATATAAGGCAAAGAATTGCTCGAGTCATGGCACATGCTTTCAAAGCAACAGAACTTAACTTCGGCTGTTTACATTACAGTTGTGATGCTAATATCTGAAAACTGAGGAAGTTTATTAGTCATAATGAGTCATCACAATAAAAAGAGTTGCCCTTTAAAACTGAGCTTATCAATGTGGATATATTAGTCACAAAATGTGTACAACGAATTGGTGCCCATCTTTTTTTAAAGGAGTTTATATAAATTAGATCCAACTGATCACATACCTTGAAGACACAGACCTGCTAGTTCCACAGCAGTTTCGTATGGACATTTCAGTCTTTAAAGAGAAGACATTAGCTATAACAATATATTTTTTCTTAATTTATGCTTTTTATGAGCCCTTTCTAAGATGAAAATAGAAAAGCTGTCTGATACAAGAAATGGACATATGAACCTTGAAGACTCAAATGCATTTTACTTAAATCCTTCAAATCACTGATAATTTATACAAAATTAAACCAGTATTTCTTTATTTGGTAATTTTTCATTAATACTGAATACATGATAAACTGCACTATAAATTAAGCTTACCCTATAAATAATGATAATGTTAAAGAAGAATAGGAAAATAATATAATTCCCTCAATATATCTTAGGAAACATTTCTAAGGAAGACTATTTTGCTTTATAAAACTTTTAAGGTGATGTATCATAGATGCCCTTTTATTAGCATGGGTGAAGCTATATACCACACCTACATATTTTTCCTAAGAATAATCTATACAAATAATGCTGAAACATTTGAGTGTCGTTTTCATGCCCTTGCATCTTCCATTCTAAAAAACCTGATAGGCTCACATTACATTATAAATCAGAGGTGCTCCACCTTTTGGCTCTGTGGTCCAGATGAGCGGGATGGGGCCAGTTCACGGTCCAGATCAGGTCCAATGCCACCTGGATTGGGCCTCATGCACCAGGTTCTCAGGCCTTGGCACCCCCTGCTGCCATGCATACCCAATGTTGTGCATGAGGACATGCTTCCAGGTTTGCAGGGCTCCCCACAGGTTCAGAAATTTGCCAGCAGGGGAGAAGCAGTTAAAGCTGCCACTGTTTCCCTACCACCAAATTTGTTCAGGCCCATGGCGAGGCAAGCGAGTTGGGAGACATGGCTCCATGGGCCAGATCTAGCCTGCAGGTTAGAGGTTGAGCACCCTGTTATAATCATACAGACCTAGTTATATAATTTAATTATTTCTATCTATTGAGTGCCCCTGGTCCTCTTGTTTAATCAATAATAAACCTGTTTCAGGTCAAGACCAAAAAGCAGCTAAACACAGTATTTATTGTATTTAGGTATTTATTAATTAAACATTTTTCTTCAGTCACACAACACCATGACAAGATTTATTTTTATGAAGACTGGGTGCAGCTACACATGCACTTGACTGTGCAGTAGACTAATCTGCTGTGGTGTAAAGCATCACAGCCTAAATGTGCGACGCTACTAGACTGCAGCAAACTGATTTTTGTCTGGGACAGTACTACCTTATTGCAGTGAAAATAACTGCACCTAAATGCACTCTTGTGCCCCAGCCGTCCTGTCCACTGCCTGATTCTACCTCCTGGAGCCTGCAGCTGACTCCCTCTTGCCAGCCTGGGGCTCCTCCACCCTGGCTCAAACTACAGCGGTCCCAGGCACAGGGTCTGCACATGCCACCAGACCGTAGCAGTTTAGCCAGTAGCTAAACTAGGCTGGAATTTATTATGGCACCTTAATGGCACGTGTAGATGCACCCACTGTGACTCTGTATAGGATGTTTTTTTCTCCAAATAAAATAAAGTATTAGATTTCTTTTGTGGAACATTATTCTCAGAAATAAAACTGGGAATATTCAGTTTCACCTGCATATGTATCTTTTTTTCAGACTGCTTGCTATATATATTTCAAAGTAAGAACTCTGAATGCTCTTCATTTTCTTAAGGATCTCATTTTGATGGATCATTTCTTAATAAATGTTAATATTGTATCTGAAACTGAAGTAAAATGATAGAACATGTATGTTTAGTAAGATTCAGATGAATATCATTTTATTCGTAGTTATGTAAATATATTCATCTTGCATACTTTAAAACAGCTTGTTATGAAATAATGCTCAGTTACAATTAAGTTTTCAATATATGAATAGTCATTAAGGATGATGGACTTATTAAGGTTATCGTATGGATAGTATACTATTGAATGTGTGGATTTTTTACATGATTAATATAACTATATTTTATCAATTAAGCCATGGTATACATATGAATATATTTCTGTATTCTAAGGGGAAAAAATATTGCCAAATATGTATTTAAACAAGATGAAAAAACCAACCCATACTTACTTCCCTGAAAGAATGTCTTGCCGAAGCTGTAATACGAACAGGTACCTAACAAATACAAACATGAAACATCAACTGTATGAATAGACATGTTTCCAGACAGTCCTCACCAAAAAAAACAACAACAAAAAAAACCCCACATTTACTCAAATATAAGATGAGGTCCCCTCCCCCAATCAAAGGGAAAAGGGCTCTTTGCCTTACGTTCGCATACAAGAAAACCTCATTAAAGACATTGTTTATCATTACATTACTGTCAAAAGCAGCATGTGCTCAGTAATGGAAACTAACTATGAAGGGGTTTTTATGGAAATTTTTGAGCAAAACTCAATCATTCAAACACCATATATGGTGCTACAACCAGCAAGTATCCTCTACCCGAGACTTTTCAGCCTGGGGGTTCGGATATTCCCAAATCCATTGGCAGGCATCCTACGTGCAGGCCCAAGCCCGGAGGTCTTGGGGCTCAGATACCCCTAAGTCTTACTTGCCCTTAGCCAATGGCCACAGGAGCAAGCTAGGGAGTGGTCCCCCATTTCCATAAAATAGGCATGTAGCCAAGATCCTCCCACTGAGAAGCTACATTACACTCTCGTAAGGTGTTCTATCTGCAGTGCGTTGGACAGATCTGCACCTACTACTACACAATGCCATTCTAAGATGATTTCAGCTGGGTAACAGACCAGTGAAGCAACTACACTTGATCTTATCCTACAGGAGGCAAAGAACCTGATTAAACGTACCATAAAAATAGGTTAGTACAAGCTGCACAGTGAGCGCAGCCATGCAGGCGCGCTCATGCCGCGTTGCCAGGCATGCCTATGTGGCTGTGCATGCCATGAAGCTTAGAGAGAACGCTGTGCCCAGTGTACTCAGTCCCCCTCAGTGCTGAGTCTTTTCAGGTCATAGTGAGCCACTACATTGAATATACTTCAACTCCCACAGCCAAGCTGTGCCTCTCTTTCCCATTTCCAGTTACTCCTGTTTTTCCATCAACCTTAAACGTCTGACAAAGTTCACCCACAATCCCTCTTTCAATCTGTCTCCACCTATAGCATAGGATTAGTGTGGCCCCATCCTCCATGAAGTGAAGCCAAATCAGGTTGCCCTGAACCTCATCTGCATATAAAGTTTTGGACCATCCTAGAACTCATGACAAGACCTCTCAGTTCCAGTCGTAAGTTGGGGGCTAAGTAGCACATGGATCATTTGTGGGGGTATCTGGAGTACATACACATACTCAGTAGTGCTGAGATATGGGATCACCAGGGCTTGAAACGCTGCTAATTCTGCTAGGATCCTGCTCAATGCACTATACAGCAAACCATATGCCTTTAGGCTTCGGACTAATATCATCCATAGTTTACTAGGTACAAAAATGCTGCTTAAAGGTGTTTACGGAGTACCTATGCTAAAACTTGCAGATACTTCAAAAAAGCTCAAATGCATCAATTCTATAAGAATTAAGTCTATGGGAACCCATAGTACAAAGTCGGTGTTTTCAAATGTGTCCTTCACTTCCATGTGCTCAGGGACAGTGAGGTCTGATAGTAAGGTGTGGGGAAAGAGTTGCAGGAGAAAGAAGATAGGAGGTCAAAGGTCAAGGTGGCCACCTGCCCCCACCCAGATTTATTTTCCTTGCTGTAACAGTGAGAAGAGAACAATTTCTAGGCAAACATCCAAAAATTAGATTCTATACTTGGGAATCTATAGGAATTTCATAATTTTTTATATATAGAATGCATGGAGCCTGAGAAACAAGGAGGAAGAACTGGGAGTCCTCACACAGTCATGGAACTATGTGACTGGAATAACAGAGACTTGACCAGATAGCTCGCATGACTGGAACACTGTCATGGATAGGTACAAAACGTTTAGGAAAGACAGGCAGGGGAGCAGAGGAGGAGGAGTTGCACTTTATGTAATAGAACTGTATGATTGCTCAGAGCTCCAGTATGAAACTGGAGATAGGCCTGTTGAAAGTTAGGTTAGGGTCAGAAGGGAGAGCAACAAGGGTGATGCCATTGTGGGTGTCTGCTATAAACCAGCAGACCAGGAGAAAGTGGAAGATGAGGCTTTCTTCAAACAGCTAGCACAAGTTTCCTGATCACAAGCCCTGGTTCCCATGAGGGACTTCAAACACCCTGATACCTGCTGGGAGAGCAATACAGCAATGTGTAGGCAATCTAGGAAGTTTTTGGGGAGTGCTGGGGACAACTTCCTGGTGCAAGTGCTGGAGTAGCCAACTAGGAGCCATTCTCTTCTTGACCTGCTGCTCACAAACAGGGAAGATTTAGTGGGGAATGTAATAGTGGATGGCAACTTAGGCAGAAGCAACCATGAGATAAATTGAGTTCAGGATCCTGAGGAAAGGAAGAAAAGAGAGCAGCAGAGTGAGGATCCTGGACATCAGAAAAGCTGACTTCAGCTCACTCAGGGAACCAATGGGCAGGATTCCCTGGGAGGCCAGTCTGATGGGGAGAGGAGTCCAGGAGAGTTGGCAGTACTTTTAAAGAAACCTTACTGAGAGCACAGGAACAAACCATCCCAGGAAAACTAGCAAGTATGGCAGAAGACCGCTTAGCAGGGAATGATTTAGTAAGCTAAAACACAAAAAGGGAGCTCACTAGAAGTGGAAACTTGGACAAACAACTAGGGAGGAGTATAAGAATATTGCATATACAGGGATGATATCAGGAAGGCCAAAGCACAACTGGAGTTGCAGTTTGCAAGGGAAACGAAGGACAACAAGAAGGGTTTCTGCAAGTATGTCAGCAACAAAAGAAGGATCAGGGAAAGTGGAGGCAACTTAGAGGATGCAGAAAAGGCTGAAGTACTCAATGCCTTTTTCACCTCAGTCTTCACAGGCAAGATCAGCTCCCAGACTACTGCACCTGGCAACACAGTTTGGGGACAATGTAGGCAGCCAACAGTAGGAAAGAACAGGTGAGGGACCATTTAGAAAAGGACATATCTGCAGTACTGTGTCCAGTTTTGGGGCCCCCACTACAGAAAGGATGTGGACAAACTGGAGAGGGTCCAACGGTGAGCAATGAAAATGGTTAAGGTCAGATATTAGGAAAAACTCCCCCAGGAGGAGGGCAGTAAAACACTGGAACAGGTTACCAGCATTCACTCTAAGCTGTGTGGCGTGAGCGGCCATGCAGGTGCTCCTGGCAGTGTGGCATGAGCACAGCTGTGCAGCTGTGCAGCATAAAAGGAACGCTGCAGGTTACCCAGAGAGGCTGTGGACTCTCCTTCCTTGGAGGTTAGACCCAGCTAGACAAAGCCTTGGCTGGGATGATCTAGTTGGGGATGGTCTTGCTTTGATCAGGGGGGTTGATTAGATGACCTCCTAAGGTCCCTTCCAACCCTCATTTTCTAGGACTCTAATTATTTGGGGGTGATCTTATATTTGAGTAAATATGGTAAAACACTTAATGATAAATTTCCAGAAACTGACTTCTTGACTGAGAATGGCCTTAGTGCATCCGCCACAGTGAGTACTGTAAACACGCAGAAAATGTTCAGTACACTGAACACTCAGTGGAATCAGCAGAAGTGGAAAGCCTTCCTCACCTTTCAGAAGCCAGTTCCAGAAAACTTCCTAGTTTAGCACAGCAATGAAATCATAGGCGTGTACTCAGAAGTGAGCATAAGTGCAGGCTAAATCAATGGGATTTAAGTGCTTTCCTGATCTGGGACCAAAACGATTGATGGAACACAAAATTCCAAAGCACAGAAACCCAAAGGTTCCTAGAGAAAGTGGACATTGACCATAGGGAATAGTTAGACAGTGGCAAAGAGTCAAACTGTAACGTTACTTATTCTTTAAAAAAACCAAGAGCTCTGAAAGAGAAAAACAAGGATTCCAGGGAGAGAGCTGATAAAGAGAGGCCTACCTATTGAATACATTGGGCACTTCCATGGTCACCCCTGCTGAAGTATCCAAGTCTCTCCCATTCTTTACTTAAAACTCGCCTCCCTAACTTACAGATGGGGATCGAAGACAGAGAGATGAAGTGACTTGTTCCAAGAGAACACAGGAAAGTCTTCAATGGAGCTGGTTCTTCTTCCATGCCCTGGGTTAGCACACTAACCTCAGGACCTGCCATTGCCCCTCTCAGGCTGCATATTAGATTTTTGTTTTCAGAGAAATAAAATACTGACATTTTTCTAGGGGTGAGAAGGAGGGCAGGAACAGGACAGGGATGGGAATGGAAATTGCAGTGTAGGACTTTCCACACAACCTCTCCTTCCCCTGCAACCACCTCAGAATACATGGCTCTTGCCATGACTTCTGGGTTAGGTAGTCCCAATCTGAAACAAGAGATGGGTGGCAAAGATCCCAGTTCCAGCCTCTCCTGCTAAAAAAGGAGCTGAGAGATGAAGCTGATGATCAGTTAAAGACCCATCAAGAAAATAAGGCCCTGGGATTCAAAGCAGGTGTGGAACAAATCTCTCTCTTTCCCACTTTTTCTGTTCATTTCTCCACAGGTACTTGAGAACATGTTGGAAATAGGACAGAAAGGATAAGTCACTCAGTTGCTAGCATATTCAGTTCGGACTCAAATTAATTTTTCACACCACATCAAGATGAGAGAGGTAGTGAGTTGACCTTTCAATATCGAGTAGACTAAGCCAGCTCAATACAGAAAGGGAAACAGGAACCAGAGGCACATAAGCAAGCTTTTTATGCCCTGTGCTATGGAACAACTCATGATGCATAAAATTAGGAGCCAGATTTTTCAAGGTTAGGCCTGCATTATACATGTCTGGTGTACAGAACACAGCTACTACCTAATTTGCTATTCAAACTAGTTCATCTGCATTTATAATTAAATCAAGGAAGATGTACATGCATTCTAATCCAGGGAATCTGTCCCTACTGCCTTGTCCATAAAAATCTAAATCAAGGATGTTAAAAATACAGCTCACAGGTCAGATCTGGCCCATGAAGCCCTACAATCTGGCGTGTGGGACTTGGACTGACCCAATGAGCCACAAAGCACGCACCATCCTAACCCCACACGCTGCATTCAGTGTGCAGAGCCAGTCTGGCTGCATGCAGTGCACAGGGCTGAACCTGGCACCATAGGTGCTGCATGTGGCACAGGGGGCAGTCCAGGGTCTGGATTTGTCCCACAGACTGTCCCAGAGTGCCAGAGACAGTGTGCAGGGCCAGTCCAGCATGGGTGCTGCACATGTCACAGGGGGCTGATTTGAGGCGTGCACTAAATATGGCGCCTTTTCCAGACCAGACTTGCATGCTGTCTCTGGGGCCACTCTGGATTGGGTCCACAACGAACCCCACACACAGGAGCCAGCATGCAGGGCCAGTCCAGCACAGACACCTCATGCAGCATATGCTCCCGGCCCGCTCCATGCATGAGCCCCGGACTAGGGCTGGAGTGCACTGCACACAGCATACAGGGCTGGTCCAGGGCATGTATTGCATGAAATGCCTCCTCCAGAGTGGCTCTGAGAACTGGCTCTGGTGCATGGGGTTGGTTTGTGGACTGATCCAGCACACAGACTGGCCCTATGCCCCTCACCTGCCCCATAGGGCTAGATAAGTTTGATACCCTTGGTCTAAATCTCATGAGCTCTGCTGATGTCTGGGGAAAACTCCAGGCAATGCAGCAATATCACTTTGATAGCATGAGGGATACCCCAGCTCTCCCCAGGTCAATGAAACACTGCAATTTCCTCTCTCTGTGAAGGCTGCTAATGCATGCATCTCAAGTTGCCATACCCCAACGTCAAGTGACAACAAAGGTTCAGTAAACACATGCTCTCTTGTCTTTCTAATGAAAACTAATGAGGTCCTTCAGATAGAAGTGCTCCCACCTTTCCTTGGTGCATTGTATTTCAGCTGTTTGCTTTTAATTGCAAATGGAAGGGGGGAGAAGAGGGAATTTCATCACTTTCCTATTAAGGTGTTAATTGTGACAGCCTCAAAAGGCATCTAAATCCATGAAAATGTACAATATAAATACTGAAATCTAATGATTTTTTTTCTTTTATAAGTGATGACAAAATGATTATTTGGACTTTCCTTTAGCTCATCTCACAGCTTCCATTCCATTCTCACTGAAGTATCACTGAATTTACACCTGCTCAGTTAGCTCATTCTACAAATTAAAGGGAAACATCCTCTAACCAGCAGAGGTCTGACAACAGGAACAAGAACTTTCACAAAGAGACTTCTATTCTTAAAATATTTTTTTTCCTTTGCCTAAACTTGCACGAGCAAAGATTGTGTTCAAATTGGTTCTGTCTCCCCCCTTCTTCTCCATTATGTCAACATAGTCATTTGCTAGTTAAGTGAATTTCTTTAATTATCCTTATGTTTGTAAAAGGAAAGAAATGGAAACACTATTTTGTAGTTAGAAACAGCAATTAAAAGCATCTTTAATATTTTTCTACCATTTTCTGTTTTTAGCAGTGATTGGCTTGCAAAAGCCATCAGATGTACTTTTATAGGAAATGTCTCACTAGATTTCATCGATGATGCATCTAGTCTGGCGTCCTATGCCTGAGAGTGACTAGCATCGTATGCTTCATAGGAATGTGTAAGAAATCTCTTAACAGACAATCATGTTAACCTGACCAAAGGGTAAATTTAACATCAAACTTACAGCCCCATGTAAGAAGGCTTACAACCTTTCTAGCATATTTTATATAAACACTTGTACCAACTATAAGTGAATTTTCTCGTTATTATGCCACATCTAATTTTTGTTTTTGACTCCTGTAATCTCTTGCACTAAATTATGTTAGTGGCAGTGAGTCCCACAGGTTAATTATGCTCTCTATAAAAGCATGTCCGTTTATCAGGTTATTGCTGTGGCAGTAAATTGAAAATGGGATATTGAAACCTTTGTGGTAGTTACATCAGTGGGCAATAAAAATTAGCTCTTTAATCTGTTTGTCTCACAGCAGTCAAAGAAATACTTAACCACTCTAGCACACAGGGGAAGAAATAGTAAACAGGTCTTCTAGAAGGGTCTGATAAACACTATTAAAATGATCAACTTAATCTTTACAATCTTTAAGCAACAGGATGGCACAGAAGCTTGTCTTGATTAGCAGTGCACTAATTAACAAGAAATAAATTAAAAGGGGGAAGGAAAAGAAAGGAAGGAAGCAAGATTGCCAGATTTTGAGAACTAGAGATAAAATAAAATATGAGAGACAGGCCTACTCTCCCATGTGAAATAAGCATGAAAAAAACCGGAAGGCCAAAGCATGAGAGAAGCTAAACTGGGCCAAAGAGCCTCTTCATTCATGATGCAAAATCTCATCCAAATCATGGAAGGCTCTCCAAGCAGAGATCATGGGTCTAAAGGCCACAAAACAGCCTGTGATATGTGGCATTTCCTCAAAAGGTCACACGTCAATCTGGGAAGTCTGTACATGATTAGTTGCCATCAAACAGCTTTCATCAGCTCCAGACGTGGGAGGTACAATGAAGGAGAGAAGAACAAGCAATTTACTATACAGCCACTCCTCCCAAAAGTGTGCTGCTTTTGGGTGTCTCAACATATTTTTCCTTTTTTGATGATCCACACCTGGGGTATCAAAACTGAAATCAACTAGTGGGCCATATTCTGTGTCAGCAGCCAGGGTGCTGGGAAGGTAGAAGGGAAGGAGAGGAGGGTGGTGGTCATTCAGCCTGCAGAGCTTCCTTCCACACCCTTCTGCCAGAGTAGCTGTATCAGTTAATACCCCTGCTGCTCATCACCCCCTTTTCATGTTGCTGACTGCCGCTGATTTTCATAGCCAAAGCTCAAAAACTCATGGACAGGTGGAAGGAAATACCACAAGTGCTCTTCTAGACAAAACAATATGAGAAGCCAAAGGAAAAAAATCTTTAGTAAAAGGTAAAAAAGGACATTACATCCCTTAGATGCTAAAAACAACCCACCAAGAAGTCTGAGCATGATACATATTCACACCAAGGCAGTGTACGTAACCCAAATATCTCCCCCCACAACTTAACCCCAAATATAACCCTACCGTGAGGCATTAGTTTATTTCCTACCTTGTAAACTCCTCATGAAGGTTGTTTGGTTCTGATGAATAGTATTTAATTCGAAAGTGCAAAGTGTAAGGAGGTCCAACTGTATATAGAGAGAGTTTAAAATAAAGTTTACACAGGTTGTGATCTCAAAACCTGTGCAGAGTAAAAAAATGAAAACAAGAAATCCTCATCCCACTAGCATAGGTCTGTATCTTAAACAAAAACATGCATGCAAGAAATTAAGGGCTTGTATACACTGTAGTGGAAATGTCCTCTGGGGAACATGCTATACCCATCCATGTTTGCTTGAACTCTCCAAACGCAGAAGTATCCTGATGAGGATGCTTGGGGACATCCCTCTACTGACACACTCAAACCCTCATTTTCTGGCGCATCTGCAGATAAGAATGGGTAGATCATATCTGGGCCTGTCCAGGGTGGGACACACTGTTGCAGAAGTGCAAACAAATGCCAAGATGTCCTCAAGTGGCACATAACTCTTTGCCATTCCAACCAGTATAGTAATTAAGCAGATTCATTTTTCAAGCAAATATTTCTCCAAAGGTTTCCCTTTTAAGGTACTGTGAAACGAAGCAATTTCAAATTGATGTGAAAGTGCAAAAAATCTCCCCTCACTGCTAAAAGAAACTTTTCTTTCTGTTTCTAAACATAAATGCCTAAATATTGTAACCCGGGTGGCGGTCCAATAGTTGCCACCCCTGCCCAAATATCAGGGATGGTGTGGTGAGAGTGGGGCAGGGCTTCCAGCCAGCACCAGTTTACTTTCCAGCTGGCCCCTGCTCCCCAGAAGGTCTAACACTTAACTGATTTAACTATTTACATTTTATTTACAAAACAAGAATAACAGGAAAGGTTATTTATAAATGAACTTAAATGGCATAAGCAGAATCACAAAACAAACCAGAATGCATTAGTCAAACCTTGACACAAGAACCACAGGTAGGGTAACTGGCAGCTTTCAGCCACTGCTGAGATGCTACAGCAAGGAAGCAGGGTGCTCGCTTCCGGCAGCTCCAACAGGCTTCCCAATAAGTGACAGACTGCAACAGTGTAGGCTCCTCTAGTCTGCAGCAATCAAGTTGTACCAAACCCCAACCTCACCAAAGAGGCTGAAGGGTGACCCTCCGTGGCAACCAAAAGGCAAGCAATAAGCAACAGAGCAGGCTCCTGCAGCAATTGGCATGATCCAAGCACAAAGCTCAGGGACTCCATCCGATGACAAGCAGCTGCAGAATAAGGTACATGACTGAGTCCCCTCTGAGGCAGACAGTGGCAGAGGGTCAGCAGCACAGGCAGCTCCCAGGGGTTGCTGCTCTAAACCCCTGCTCCAGATGACTGGCCAAGCACCCCACATGCCTCGCGGCTCGCGTATCCCGCTCAGAGTGCCAGCCTGCACCCCAAGTTCCTGAGGACCCTTGTCCTGGTGCTCTGCCGATCCTCAGGATCCCAATGCCTTGCCTGCTGCTGTCCCGCTTCCCCGGGGGAGGTAAGGGGTTTCCTCAACTCACCGGCTCAGCTCCCTGCTCCAGATAAGGATGCTGCCTGCACTCCTGGCCGCTGCTTCTTCTCTGCAGTGGAGTGGGAGGCTGACTGCCACCCCTAGCCTCCGGGACACCCGGCATGTCCAGCACACTGCGATGAGGCCTTGGGGCACCAGCTCTCTGCCCCAAGCCCTGGCCACTGCTCCCTCTCTACTGCAGGGCTGGAGGCAGGGCTGACTGCCGCTTCCTTCTCCCAGGGCCTTCGAGGCTCTTCAGAGGTGTCTCTCTGCTTCCTCTGCTGGGTCAGTTCACCCCAGCTCTTAGGCCTCCTGCGTCGTTCCCTGGAGTCACTGTCAGCAGCCCCCACCACCAGTTCAGCTGCTGCTTTTATCCCCTCCGGCAGTCCCTCCCTGGCTTGCAAACCAACCAACCAGGGCTCAGGGTGGCTGGTCCACAACTCCAGCCATCCTCTTTTCATGCGAATGAGGGGATTGAAAACCCCTTCTTTCAATCGGCTTCTCCTTTCCACAGGGCAGGGCTCCCCTGCTCCACCCTTGGGGTTGCTCCGAGTTCACGGGCACTGTTTCTAGCCCCGGGTAAGTATCTCAAGCCAGTCTGGTGAGCCCACATTGGCAGTCTGTTACAATATGTTTAGCCAATACATCTTTGCTGATTCATGCTATCGTGATGCGCAGGCAAAGATCATAAACAGACTGTACGTCATACAGGGCTCTAGAGGTGAGAACTATTACTAGTGAAATGCACCACACAACAGACAGAAAGCCAGTGCAGTTCATGAAGCATACTTGCAAGATTCATAGACTTTTCATAGATACTTGCATGGACTCATAGACTCTGGGCAAGTTTACGAGCAACCTAATCTGACACACAGCATTATAAACAATAGAATTTTACCCAGTCATGCCATAAGTGAAGGAAAAGTGTCTGTCTATTTAAACCGTACCTTCCAGAAAGACATCCAGTCTTGGCTTGAAGATACTGGGACACTGATAATTAGTATCTATCGAGGTTTTTACAACAACCACCACTGTGGTATGTGTGCACCTACTCACTGCTTGTTTTACTAAAGATATGTACAACTGAAAGGTGCACTAGTTGCAGCTTTTAAGCAGTCTGTCAGGGATACAGGAAAAAGTGCTTTTTAAGAGTCGCAAACTTGTGGATCAGTAGAGACATCTACATCCTCAACACACTGGTCATGTCTACATGAGACACTGACTGCACAGTAGCTAGTTACTACTGCGCAGTAGCATCACGTGGCACAGAGCTTCACGTGATGCTACTGTGCAGTCAGTATCGCCAACAAGCCATTTAAGGACCATATTGTGCGGTAACTGGTTACTGCACAGTCATTTAGTACTTGTATGAGCAAGAATGCAAGGAAAGGCTCTATCCCACAGAAAGAGAACTATTGCAACCCTTATCAAACGGCTTTGCTTCCCTTCCACTTCTCCCAGCACAGCTCACAGCCAGCTGGTTTTCACATAGTCCTTTATCTGGATCATGCACTGGGAAAGCAAGTAATCCTGCTAAAATGCTAAGAAATATTTTTTTGTTTCTTAAAGGTAGCTTTTCCTTCTCCTTGGAATATCAGAGAATCCACATCTGCTGATCACTTATCCAATTGCAGAAAAGCAGACTGAGATGTGATGAAAAGACAATGATAGAACCATAGAATCATACAAAATGAGGGTTGGAAGGGACCTCAGGAGAACACATAGTCCACGCCCCCCACCCTTCTCAAAGCAGGACCATCCCCAACTAGATCATCCCAGAGAAGGCTTTGTCTAGCTGGGTCTTAAAAACCTGCAAGGATGGAGCTTCCACCACCTCTCCGGGTAACCTGTTCCAGTGTTTCACTATCCACCTAGTGAGAAAAGTCTTCCTAATATCTAACCAAAACTGCCCTTGCTGCAACTTGAGACTCGCTCCTTGTTACATCATCTGCCAACACTGAGAACAGTCTAGCTCCATCCTCTTTTGTATCTCCTTCAGGTAGTTGAAAGCTGCGATTAAATCCCCCCTCAGTCTTCGCTTGTCTAGACTACGTAAGCCCAGTTCCGCAGCCCCTCCATACAAGTCATGTGCCCCAGCCCCCTCATCATTTTTGCTACCCTCTGCTGGACTCTTTAATCTGTCCACATACTTACTGTAGTGGGGGGGCCCAAAACTGAACAAAGTACTACAGATGTACCCTCACCAGTGCTGAATAGAGGGGAATTACCACTTCGCTTGACCTGCTGGCAACACACCTACCAGTGCAGCACAGTATGCTGTTAGCCTTCTTGGCAACAAGGGTATACTGTTGGCTCATATTCAGTTTACCGTCCACTGTAACCCCCAGGTCCTTTTCTGCAGAGCTGCTACCCAGCCAGTCAGCACCAGTCTGTACCAGTTCATGGGATTGTTCCTAAGTACAGGATTTTGCACTTATCCTTGTTGAACCTCATGAGATTCCTTTTGACCCAATCCTCCAATTTGTCTAGGCCGCTCTGAATTCTAGCCCTACCCCACAGCATATCTGCTATGCCTCCCAGCTTGGTGTCATCTGCAAACCTGCTGAGGGTGTACTCTTTGCCATCTTTCAGGTCACTGAAGATATTAAACAAAGCCAGCCCCAGGACCAACCCATGGGGCACTCCACTTGATACCAGCTGCCAACTAGACATCAAGCCATTGATTATTACCCTCTGAGCAGAATGGTCCAGCTGGTTTTCTATCCACCTTACAGTCCATTCATCCAGCCCATACTTCCTTAGCTTGCCTGTGAGACTTACAGGAGATGGTATCAAAAGCCTTGCTAAAATCAAGGTATACCATATTCACTGGTCTCCCTGAGTCAACAGAGCCAGTCATCTCATCATAGAAGGCAATCAGGTTGGTCAGGTATGACTTGCTCTTCTGATCAACCAAATCTAAGATTACTGGTTAAGTCTCCTAAATCAAACATGAACACTTGGCCTGTGTCCACTGCCAGCAGAAGTCAGCTTCCTAAGACTGCCACACTGTATTATATCCAGACCCATAGATATCCAGGATTTTGTAAAGTGGGGCGTGGGAGCAATGACTGGCACTGCAGGGACAGCTGCACCCCCACTGCCAGCCTCCCCCTTCCCTTCCAATTTGGGGCAAGCAAACCTCACCACAAAGAGCAGCAAATTAAGGACTACTTTTAGGTCTCCAAACCAGAAAAGAATCTTTGACCTCTGCCACCTCCATTCTACTCTGCGTTCAGTGCCAACGCCTCTCTCCTCTTCCGCTGCTACTGCTATCCCAGGCTGACCAAGAGGCAGACAGAGCTCCAGAGCCTCTCCTGCCACACTATAGCCAGACTGCAAGAAGAATTGGGCTCAGCCAAGGAAAACTACAATGGCGGCAGCAGCAGCAGGTAAGTTCTCCTTCCCTGAACCTGCATCCAGGCTGGCAGATCACACTGTGGGCAAAGTGGAGGATTCAGGGGGAAGACTTTAGGGACTTAAAAGAAGTTCTTGACTGCTGATCCTGGGGTGTGGTCAGAAAGGCGGGCATGACCATGTCATTGTACCTCCTCTGGATCCACCCTTGCTCAGGTCTAAAACCAAACTGTTAGGAAACCACAATCTGAAGGACTTCTTTGAACCCAGAGCTATTTCAGAACTTAATTTCTTGATCAAGGGTTTCAGGTTGGTTGTCTTAGAGGGGTGGAAGGATCAGCATGTTAAAAGGATTAACACTTTTTGTCAATGAAGTCCCCAGGATCTTCTCCCTGGCACCCACCAAATCGCAAGCAGCACCGGTCCAGTTTGCAGTTCACTTACATATCCAGGAACTAAATAAATGAAACCAGGAGAAAATGCCCCAGTGCAGATTCCAGGGAAGGCAGTAGATACTCCCTGTGCAAAAGCTGAAGGGGCTTCCTGTCATAACTTCTAATAATAGCTTTCAAACCTTAGGACCCACCACACATTGCCCATTTCTAAGCCATTGAATTTGGCGTTTTAAAAAGCAAAAGGAATGAGTACCCTCCTCACTATGCAGACTCCCTACATACAGCCAGGGAACTGGAGGGCTAATATGCTTTCTAAGCTGATCTTTGGTCCATTGACTCTATTAGAACAGCAACTGCTCTAATAGCAACCAAAGCTTGCATTCAGACGGCTTGCCATAAGCCTAGTCTTATGGCAGTGGAATTCCAAGCATCAGTTTCCTCCCCACAAAAAAAAGGAAGGGAATTTTTGGCAACCATGAAAGTCGATTTAAAAAAAATTAAATAAGAGAGCTTAACTTTATTCCACTCCTCCCTGCAATCCTTGCTTTCACACAAGAAGATTTAGTTGGCCAACCATTACATTGAAATCATTATCTGAGAAATATTCAGTCTATTAAAGGCAATATTTAAAGATTCACAATCATTTTCAAAAATATGTTAATTTACTTATTAAGGGAGAAATAAAATAAACGTACACTTGCATTACTTACTTTTTATTTGCTTCTTAATGGGCTTAGAATGGTCCAGCCAGTGCTAAAAAAAAAAAGAAAACAAGTGTTTAAAAGTTGTTCATTTTTAACATTTTATTGGTTTTGTATACTCTATAATTGCAGCATAAGTTCATTCAACAGAGCAGGGCTCTTCTCCAAGAATGAAATTTCTATATCTTCATACCCCTTTGCAAAACTTATGGGTTTGTTTTCATGAGAAAATATTTGTCTCAATTTATATAAAACTCAGGTGCCTGTGTTAGTGATAACTTGATTTTAAAAAATTTATATCCAGCTCTTGGAGCTGCCTCTTTCTGAGACAAAAACCAAAGTCAAATCTGTAAAGCACATATATCATTCTGCCAGGGAAAAACCTTCACTCCCTATACCCCAAGCACTGGGCCCAATGTTTAATCATAACCAGGGACCTACTCATATCGGGATTTCATGAAAATTATGAAATCGGGTAATCTCCAGGAAATCCACAGGGAAAAGAAAATTACTAAAAATAAAATGCTGACTCCACAGTGTGAGTTAGCAATCCTCCTGGCTATGCAACCCACCGGGGGGAAGGGAGAAATGGGGCTGCTGGCACAGAGGCGAGTAGGCAAGATGGCTGCTGCCCCCACCCCTCACTGCTGATTGGCTCAGAGGGCTGCCTGTCATGCCGCCCTGCCCCTCTCCACTAATCAGCAGCAAGGGGTGGGGACTTAGGACAGGCAGCCCTCTGAGCCAATCAGTGGCAGAGGCCAGAGCAACTGGAGCTTCTCAGCCAATCAGATGCGTGTCTGCACGTGTGTGGGGGGGAGGGGCTGCCATGATAAGCCTCAAAAATGGCAGTTGACCCCATGATCTGCTCGTGAAATTAGCCAGCTAGCTCCTCCAGTTGGGCAGACCCCTAATCATAATTCAAGTCCCTTTGAAGCTAACAGTTTTGCTGTTGCTTGGATCTCCATTTGAGTGTCTTTGGTGTGAATTCCTGTCTGCTCCTTGGTGGCGGTGTCTAAGGCTCACCCTACTGTATTACTCTATCTATAGTGTTATTCTTCAGCACAGAGGTGAAGGCTTTGTCTACACAGAAAGCTCCTGGCAGCTTAACAAAATTGCTTAGGCCAGTGCTTTTGTTCTGTAATTATTTGTAACATGTAAATAAGGGTGCTTTCACCCATATAGTTTATTTTGTCCAGGAACACAGCTCTACTGGCAAACACACACTTTTGCCAGTGTAAGAGAAGTCTACACTGGGAGGGCTTACCAGAGCAGTTATTTCAGCAAACCTTTTCTAGCACAGACTTGACCCAAGGCTTAAGTGTGTCAGTACAGTGTCCAAAGTGAGGATCTACTCCTGAATGAGGCATATAGCTGCTGCCACAGTATAAAAATTAAATGATAATGGTATATCCACTCATATTACAGATGATTATTTGGGCTACCTGAAGATAAGGTAAGAAAATCTAGTTTTTTTTTTAAATTTAAAAATCAGTAAATTAGTATGTTTGAAACATAGATACAGAAAGAAATCCACATTCTTTTTTCTTCTCCCCCTTCCCCCACAGCCTTTTTGGAGGGCCATTTCCTTTTTATATTCATCATACCAGAACCACAAACCTAATAGTATTCAGCTGGTCCTGCTTTCCTTCAGCTAAATGCACATGAAAAGGATCCATTAGATAGCAAAAATAGTTTTATTTATTAAGCTTGCCTTATCTTAAAGCAAAATTTATGAAACAGCTACCAATGTATGCAGTACATTAAAAAAATTCCCAACACAGGGCCCACAGAGTACACAAGTCACCTACACATAAGAATGAAATAGAAAATACTTCTGCATGTACTTTTACTTTTAATTTGCCCTGTGATGGACTTTTATTCCCTTGATCAGGTTGCCAAGTAGGTCAACCTTACAGAGCTGATAATTGCTGTCAGAGTGGAAATAAAATACTAAAATTTATACAAAACACATGCTTTGTAAATGTAAATGATTTATCTTGTGTCTATTTAATTCTCACACAGTGAATATGAAGAATTACAGGAAACCCTCTAGAGCCATACGATAACTTATTTCACTTTTCTGATAAGAAATAAAATTCTCAAGTTGTTCTCGATTGAAATTATGCAATTAGACCTCAATGAATTTCACCACATCTAATACATAAACCTTTTATTCTACTAAACACACTCATTAGCAAAACATCTCTCCAATATTAAGAGAAAGCTTTGTCGAGTTTCAGCTGAGTTAAAAGTGCCTTGATTGTTATATACCAATATTTACAGAGAAAAGAATAGAATTTAGTACTAAATGTGCCCTAACATGAAAAACTTTCTTCTTCAACATTATATTTTTACTGTTAAAAACAATAAAATTACCCTGAAAATGCTCTTTTCACTTGTTGCTTACGAGTGCTCTCAAACAGTACCACCACACAGCTTTCTGCACTGTAAATCATTAACAGTGTTTATAACAGTTTGAAAGGAGCATTGTGCTAAAATCCATGATGTAGCAAACTACCAATTGGTCTCCTCATAAATGTAAGTACCTTCCTTCAACACAAGCAATCGCTTAAAAAACGCATAAAGAATATAGTAACTAGCAACTCAGGCCACTAAATGAACGTGTAGTTGAGACAGGAAATGTACCTTATGAATCATTCATTTCTAGAGGTATGATGTACTCAGAGGCATAGGCTGCTCCAGAGGACAAAATACAGCAAACAACCACCACCATTTTTAATCACCTTTTTTTTTTTTTTTTT